AGTCCTGTCTCTTATTGGCGCAATTGCTATATCACTACACGTGATTGCTATGCTCTGCATATTCCCTTGCTTTAATCACTCCTAAGCTCTTGTAAGAGCTTGTTCCTGCTTCGCTTTGAAGGAAGAGAGGTTTGGCTTGCGGTGGTTGTGGTGTTAGCTAGAGTGCTTGGGGTCCTCAAGAAGTGCTAGGAGCATACTTCAATGGAGGTACCCAGTCGGGGTGCCAGGTGACCTGTTACAGAAACATCAGCAACTTTTGAGAGAAATTGATCTAAATTGAGGAATTCAGCCTCATCTTCTACAAAAGGGGAAAACATTTATGATACATGTTTGTAAAAGCTGGGTTAGGGAGCAGGTAATTTAAAAGGATCACTTGACATTTCTTTATTTAAACCAGCAAACACTTTAAAACAAATATCCAAGCCAAAATAAAGCAAGAACACCTTGAAAAGTATGTAATAAACATTCATAGTCTTACTAAAAACTTGCATTATTGAGCACAACTCTGAACTAGGTGATTTTCTTCAGCCTCCCACCCCCAGCTCAGTTTCAAACCAGTAAACTAATGACAGAAACAAGGCATCATTGTGCAGCATCATGAGATATAAACCCAATAAAAGAGTCTGCTCTGTATGAATCACACCGATCAGACTCCCTCTCTTCTCCCCTTTAGAATGTTGCAAGGTAAAGAGATGTTCCAGCTGCATATGTGTAAATCTGTCAGGAATGCCCATTGAACTTTTTCAGCATTCTTAAGCATAGGACACAGATTGGTTAGAACAGTACAGTTAAATATTTCATTGAGTGAGGCAACTGTCTAATTCAAAGCTAACACAAAAACTTTTAAACAAATATACAAACCAAAATAAGGCAAAAGGTTATGCAAAAATTAGCAAAGTATGTAATAAACGTTTAGAATCTTACTATAAACTTAGATTGCATTACGGGCATGCTTCTCAGCTAGGAGAACTTCTTCAGCCTCCTCCCCACCCATTTTCCCACCTAGCTCAGTTTCAGACCTGTCCACTAATTACAGAAACAGGACCTCAATGTGCGAAAGCAGGAGATATACATGATCATCACACCAATCAGACTCCCTCTCTTGTCCTCTGTTAGGGTTTTGCAAGCTAAACAGATCTTCCAACTGCACATGTGCAAATCTGTCAGGCATGCCCAATGAACTTTTCCAGTATTTCTAAGGATAGGACATGGATTGGTTAGACCAGTACCCCCTGGAGTGGCTGTGAAAAATATAAGAAAGTGAAGGCTTTTTTGGGTGCGGAAATTGTTTAGCATGCAGAAACACTAAAAGCGGGAAAAGGCATTTAAAAACATTCCAAGATCCAAAGAATAAAAAGGAATATAAAATAAAAGATATGTTAACGTGTTTTTCTAAACAAGTTATCTATATATTAAAATGCCCGTGTGACCTTATGTATGTTGGAAGAACTAAAAGACCTTTACAAGTCAGAATAAATGAACACATACGTAATATAAAAAAAGGATTCGACAAACATAATCTTTCGTTGCACTTTAAAGAAATACATGGGAGTAGCCATCATGGTTTAGATTTTTTTGCTATCCAAAAGGTAGAACTTAACTGGCGGGGGGAGATGAAATTAAGAAATTAGGAAAAATTGAAACGAAATGGATCTTCGACTTGAACACACTGGCCCCCTTGGGCTTAAATGCAGATTTTGAGTTGTGTCATTTTTTGTAGCACCATATCATTTTTCTATTTATTTTTTATATACTTTTTTATATTTTTTTTATATTTTTTCATATTTATTTTTATTTCTCATTTTTTATAATTCACTTTTTAGAATAGTTTTTATTTTCTATTCATTCATTGTATTTTATTTTTATTATTTATATTTACTCTCATTTTTTACACTACACTCTTTACTATTTTTTTTTTTGCGTACCCCTATTTTTTCATATGTTCAATTTATACTTTCTATCTTTATTAATGTCACTTTCTAGTTTAGGCTTGGACTCATTTTATACAGTAATTTTAATGTATAGTCATATTGTTATTATAAGTTTTTATTGTGAGTGTTATTTAATGGACCCCTCTCCAAGCCGATATAATTATAAATACATGCTTTTTAATAATTGTGATAAATATAAATAGATGTCTGTAATATCGTACTGGGGACTTTTAATTATGTACTACAATGCATACCCGCATTCTACGACATTGCCGAAATAAAACCAGAAGTCATGTGAGAAACACAGAGCATCAAGGGATTTGCAGTCCCGAGAATGCCGAAAACGGAGTGACGTGACGGCCGGAGTAAATCATCACTGATTGGTCAACGAACGAACAGGCGGGTTTTTTGAAAGATACAAAACCGGAACAAGCAGAGGACTTTTACAGCCAACTGAGGAAGCTTATCGGAAGCGAAACGCGTCTTGGCAACGGACACATAGACTGTGACTATTTATTTAAAGCCATACAGAGCTATTTTTATGTTTTTTATTTTCTAGTCTACTGTGTATAATTTATATATTTATATTTTATTCAACAATAAATGTATTAGTATTTATTACTGCATCCTGCATTTTTTCCGGTTAAAGGGGGAGGTGTCACCCCAATTTGACACTGAGCCTGCAAACTTTGAGCCAGTATCCAAAAGGCTCTTAAAAAGGTGAGCACCTTATTTTCTTTTTAACATCAAATAGGATTCCTGAAAATACTACACCCAGAATCTCTCTCCTCTTCTCTTCTATATATTTATTGTGGAGTGGAGGAAGGCAAGAACTTTCTGAAGAATTGAAAGGGGTGAAGTTGTCTACCTTAAAGAGACACGGAAGCCTAGAAGTTTAGAGCCTAATATCTAAAAAAGGCTCTAAATTATGTGAGTAGTTATAACTCACACATTATAATACCATTTTGTATATATACAATACTGCACAATCATTTTGTATATTTTTTTCTGTTTTTCATGTATACCCTCAAATAAGTACTTAGAGGGGTAAGTTACATGTTCATCTATACTACTTGTCCTATATAGATCTATATAGCGCTGCACTCCAATTAGAGGCTTGGAAGGTGAAAAAACAACCAGACCTCTAGTTAATTGTTGTCTTTTGGTGTTCATTTATAGTGGGCAATTGGGAGTACCCACAGAGTGTTTCCAGCAGCTTAATTTAAATCACAATTAATAACCAAATAGGAAAAGTACAGATTCACCCACTAGTGGATAGAACACACTCTTAGTGGGTAATAATTAGGAAACTAAATAATTACCCTTAAACTAAATGTATTGCAGATAAGGACTCCTCCAGGTCCTCAATAGATATGAACAAAAGGGATAAATCTACAATACAATGATAACAGAAAAAAACATAGCGTAATACTGTTAGCCAGGAAAGGGGAGTGGAAATGTAGGTAGTAATTCACACTCACAAACCAAAATTGATTGTAGGCATATCTTATAAAACGATGAGTATCTCAGGATAAGTGGAACATCATGATGTACATAGAAGGGAACAAAAAAGCATAATAGTGCAGAGTATCTTGGTAAAAAGTACACTTTAATGATATGACACACTTACAATGTTGTAGTGGCAAGCAGGCATAAAAAAACACAACCGGTCTCAGGATCACAGGATGAATCACAGGATCAACAGAACCAGAAGATCAAATCAAATGAAATAAAATAAAACAACCTGATTGAATAATAAAAAACTCTTAAACACTATAAATAAGCCCTACGCGTTTCGTTCAAACGTCCTTGAACTTCCTCAGGGGCAGAAAAGTCCTTCTATGTGTGGGTATAACTGTCCATATGATATTTATGGCTTTTAAATCAGTCCGGTTTGGCGCGCCGAAAAACTCTTCCAATTGTCAGCTTACTTCCGGGTTCGCCCGTCTGTAATACTTCCGGGTGCGACCTGCTGATGCAACCGGAAATGCGGCTCACGTCTCTCTTCCGGATCTCTACCTATGCGTTCCACCTAATATGCATTCCACCACTCGTTTATAGAGCGGAGAACAACCATAATTGATAAAGAAAAATTTAAGAACATATATATATATACACAATATTGGTTATGTCCATAGTTATAATCTCAGACATAACAGTGTTATCTAGATAATATAAATCCTTGCCAATACTTCCCTTTATACAAAATATGGCATAAAAAAATTATTATTTCATTCCCAAAAGATACATATGATTAATTAGACAACATTGCCAAAACAAATATTTGTCGATATTGAAACTATATACAAAAAGAAGTGCAGAAAGTGCATAAAAGAAGGTGTCAATTAGAGAAAGCAAACCAAATCGAAATCAACATTGAGTCCCCTAGGTTGCATTGTTTGTAGAGTATGTATCCAATATCCCTCTCTTTTTCTCAATAGTAACATTAGATCTCCACCTCTTTCATCCAAGGCTACTTGTTCAATGATGGTACATTGGAGGGTATTGAAGTTAAAAACTGGACATTTATTGCAGTGCACTGGCACTGAATGTGTCAACATATGATTTTTAATATTATTCCTATGCTCCTGGAACCTGACTTTTGCTTTTCTTCCCACATATTGCAACTATACAGAATTTCCAAGAGTCCCCACTTTTTATTTCCTCCCCAAGAGTGTAAGCATGTATGGGATATGCCTAAGGCTATCCTAACTATAAGATAAGGCCAGGGACTAATTAAAGTATCTAAAAAAAATTGGGCAGACTAGATGGGCCAAATGGTTCTTATCTGCCGTCACATTCTATGTTTCTATGTTACTTTCACACGTACCACCTACCTATAGATTATTGCAGACCATGTTCAGACCATGGCAATGGTTCCCCCTTTGGCAGTGGCCTATTTTAGCAGGATAATGCACCCTGCTACACTGAAAACATTTTTTCTGGAATAGTTTGAGTATGTCAAAGAGTTTAAGGTGTTGCCTTGGCCTCCAAATTCCTCAGATCTCATTCAGATTGAACATCTGTGGGATGTGGTAGAACAACAAATCAAATCCATGGAAGCCTCACCTCACAACTAGCACGACAAAGGACCTGCTGCTAATGTCGTCATGCCAGATACCACATGACATGTTCAGAGGTCTGGTGGAGTCCATGCCTCAACGCATCAGAGCTGTTTTGGCAAAATTATGCAGGTGGTTTCAATGTTGTGGCAAATCAGTGTATAATGTTAACTCCACCACGCTTTACCCTGGGAATGGTGTTCTCAGGGTTATAAGGCGTATTGGCTTTTGTAAAAATAATATACTTATGTTGGTGGAGTGCTAAATAGCTTCAAGGACGTCAATTAATCCCAAGGTCACTGTTACTCAGAGTGACATAAAACAGAATAGAAAAAGCACATCATAGTGAAGTACCATAAAAAAAAAACCATTCAAATGTATTTACACTAGACAAAGAACACACCTAACTGTCTTATAATTAAATAGGAGTATAGAGCCAACAATACAGTGATAATAACAAAAAAAAAGAGTTAAAATCGGCCTCTTACAAGGGAAGACTAGTGAGTATTTGCAGTGTTTCACTGCTACTCACAAATGCTTGTTGTACTCCCAAGTAACTCTCTGCTGTCAAAATCACTGGTTGATCACCAGGATTCCTCCACGTACTCCTGAGTCTCCGTGTCTGCAGTCAGAGTGTCCCTGTGTTCCGAGAAAGAAGCTCCGCCCACTTCGTACAGCGTCACTACGTCACCACGTCACCGTGTCTATGCATTTCGCCTCAAGGGCTTCGTCAGGCCGTCGGCAGTGATGTCATCTCATTGCGTGAAGTCTTTTTAAATAGCAGCTTAAGTCCTTTGGATGGATACAACACTCCTCATTTGCATAAATAGAGCTGATAGCGGCACATTTCTAGCAGTTCATATTATGTATTATGTATGTCTCCAAATAAACATCTTGTAATATCTTTATTACACCACTTTTCTAAATCACAAACCGCTCTGTAATAACAATTCTTATAATACAATTCATCAGTCACAGTTAAAAGGAAAATGAACATTACACTTTAGTTATAGGGAGAGAGAAAGAAAAACATAGCTAATATCAGTTTGTTCACATGCTCAACCTTAAAGCACAACACTTCTATATATGGGAGAGATATTAATATATATTACAGTAACCATAACCCATTTGGTAAAGTGCCTTAGTGCAAATATAAGAAAAAGGGAAGATTTAAAGTAATAAACCCACTAAAAACAGATAAAAAGAATCACCCATAAAATGAGGAGTACTCAAAATTTCACCTGATAATTTTTCCTACCTGACGCTGCATAAACACTCTGCAGATATTATAGATATGCTTCCCTATCCTAATGTGTAGCCTACGTGTAGTTCTACCATGTACACTCTTTAATTATGTATGTTTTTACTTTGGTTTCAAAATGATCCCTAAATGCTCTATGGGAGCCCGTAGTTTTGCATGCCCTACATACCCCACAATTGTAGAATCCATTTTTAACCCCATAAATGTACACATATATCCTGATCTCTTATTATTCCCCTTCTCTATTTCCGAAGTCAAAATCCTTTTCATGTTGGGTAGGATATAATTTAATACAGGGTCTTTCAATAGAAGGTGCCAATTCTTCCTAATGATATTCCTCACTTTCTTATTATGGCTACCTGCATACTGATAGATGAATGGGACTCCTTCCTCACTTGCTATATCTTTAGGTTTAAACTTAAAATCCAAAAGGGACTTTCTATCCATCTGTCTCACTTCTTCCATTGCCCTACATAAAACTATTTCTTCATATCCCCTAGCTTTAAAATCTTCCATAATTTTCTGTCCCTGGTCCATGAACGCCCCATCGTCTGTACAATTCATACGGATACGGATCAGCTGACTTTAGGGTACATTCTCTAGCCAGGGACTGTAGTGGCAACTTGATGTCTCTATATAACTGTTGACATCAACAGCTTTGAAAAGAGTTTTAGTTCTAATGTTGCCATCTTCTATAAAAATAGATAGATCTAAAAAGTCAACCTTGGACTTACTGTGATTAAAAATAAGGGATATTACACAGTCATTTAAGTTAACCTCCTTGATAAAATTTCCTAAAAGTTCTTCTCCCTCTTTCCATATAAAAAATAAATAATCTATGAACCGCTTGTACAGCACCAGGTTCTTCCCCCAGCTACCCTCCATGGCTTTTGTGCCATACAATGTCTTGTTCTAATTCCCACGGGTTTAAAATTTAGTTTCATCAAACTGGAGAACTTTAAACATGTGCTAGATCTTCCACATGCCTTCTGGCAAACACTATAAGATATTTTATATGTTTGACACAAAAATAGCAAAAGTAAGGTGAAGCACTGGAAGTTTTAGAGAAGGTAGACCAAAGGCAGTAAAGCGGACAGTCATTGGCATTCTGTTTGATTTCATATTTAGGTATTTTTCTTTTCTCTTGAATTATTTGGGTTATGCCCACTTTATCCACCTAATCCTTTTGACTTTAGGGCCAGGTTATCCTGTCCCTCAAGTCTTTTTGTTTTTTTATTTAATATTTATTGCTTTTTGTATAATATATGCCGAAATCTATTTTTATATTCATGTATGATATTACATTATGTTTCAATATATGGTCATGTAATTGGAGTTGTGAGTTTCCTAATTTGTGTTTCCCATATATGTATACGCACATGCTGGGCATCCTCCTTCTTACTTGGAAAAGCCTTTTTGGTGAAATGCGTTGTATTCTTTTATTATTTATATTATCAATAAAGCACTGAGGTTCCTAGATTTTCAAACCTGCTAGCCTTTACTGTTATTTTTATTTATTTCACTCTATCATTGTTCCTTGCATTACCTGAAGCACAGCTTCTTGGTTTACTACTTTCAAATCCTTGGTGGTGATTGTTACACACACGTTGCAAATACTGAGCAAATCTATGGCTTAAAAAATTGTATATTTTAAAGTCTATCCATGTATAATATTACTATATTTTGACTCCTTTTTCTTATATGTGTGAACACCGCAGGAGGACAAGTGCATCAGTAATATCCCTGGGTGGGAATTATACCATGTAATATCTGAAAATTTGAGCTTTAATGCAAAGCTCTAAACTTGTGTGTGTACATTTTATATTGTTTGACACTTTATGTACACTGTAGTAGTCATAATATTGGACTAGTGGATTTTACTCTGTCATTTCATGTTCTACTGGGGCCTAAAAGACAGACTCTGCGCCTACACCTATATCCAATAGTGGTGGTTACACTGCTACATGCTGATATTACTGGAGCTTGTAGATAAGCACCAAAAATATGAGTGGGCTTTCAAACACTTTGTTATTTGTCACTAACCAAGTATGCTAAATATTACACTACTCGTATTCCTCTTTCTTTCTCTTCTAACCACATATACACCCATTGAGGACAGAATAGACTAAAAAAGGCAAAGCCTTTGGTTTTACGATAGCTTAGTATAAATCCTTCTCCAGTGTTTTATTTCCCTACTTACTTACGTTGTTCAACCATTATTGGTCTCATGGAGAAATGCCAGAGAAGGCTTTGTGCGCCGAAATTATAACATTATCTAAGTCTGGTAAAGCGCCTAATTTGATACACCACATTAAATCATACACCTTCTCTGCTCTTATCTTTAAATGTGGAGAAGCCGTTTGATAGGATTCATTTGGATTATTTGAGGGAGGTTATGTTGAGGTTTCATTTTCCAGGTTTTTTTTTTTTATCAAGGCTGTATTTTCATCATATTATAACCCAATGGCCACGGTGTCTGCGACTGTCTTTATCTCCGACAGTTTTACGCTATCTAATGGAACCAGACAGGGATGTCCATTTTCCTCATTTTAATTTGTGCTGGCGATGGAACACCTGGCTGAATCAATAAGACAGTGTGCAGATATCGAAGGCATTGTGGTAGGAGAGAACATAAAATAGGCCTATTTGCAGATTACATTAAGTTACCCTTTAAAGATCCTTTAAAGTTCCTTCGGCCTCAGTTCTGACAAATTAAATACAAATAAAACTTAGCCACTCTCTCTTCTTTGTCCCATGGCATGAATTGGATGTTTTAAAAAAGCAATTAGACTTTGATTGGAGGGATTCCTGAATTTCCTGTTTAAATCGACTCTCCAGTGCCACGAAATTAATCCGTTTTCCTGGCACTGCAGGTCCCCTCTCCCTAACACCCCCGGTTGCTGAAGGGGTGAAAACCCCTTCAGTCACTTACCAGAGGCAGCGACATGTCCCACGTCGCTGCTTCTTCCTCCGCCCCCACTCCTCCCCTTCGTTACGTAAGCCGGCGGGGAAGACTTATCTCGCCTGCCAGCTGGGGAGACCTAATGCGCATGCGCGGCAGTGCCGCGCATGCGCATTAGACCTCTCCATAGGAAAGCATTGAAAATGCTTTTCAATGCTTTCCTATGGGGATTTTAGTGACGCTGTGCTATGGACGAGGTAGCAGACAGCCACTAGGGGAGGACTTAACCCTGCAAGGTAATTATTGCAGTTTATAAAAACTGCAATAATTACAGTTGCAGGGTTAAGGGTAGTGGGAGTTGGCACCCAGACCACTCCAATGGGCAGAAGTGGTCTGGGTGCCTGGAGTATCCCTTTAAGTATTGACCTATGTAAAAACCTGTCAAAGATGCATACATATAATTAGCCAAGTTCTGGCCTGCTTTTAGGGATGACATTGAGAGATGGTGTAGTCTGGATATTTCTTGGTTGGGCAGAATAAATTCAGTCAAAATTACTCCTTTCTAAAATTGTATATTTTCTCCTCTCATTATACCTTTATATTTTTTTTGGAAAGTCCATCTGCCCTTCTGGCATTTGTCTGGAATAAAACACCTTGCAGAAGTCAATTGGCTACTTTATAAAAGCTCAGTGATAGCGAGGGTATGGGTTTGCCAAACTTTAGTCATCATTATTTAGCAACAAATGCTCTAAGTTTAATATGGTTCATGGTCGCCCTTTGTGGTTGGAGATGGTGGGTACAAAGCTTTCCCCTCATATAATAACTGAAGTGCTGTAGTTGCCTTCTTCTCTTCGGCCATGGGCAAACATGTTTCCAACCACCAAGACCACTATTAAGGCTTGGGATGCTATATATAAAAAGATTAAACCTGCTTTTTTGTCTAGGGTTGCTCCTTTGTCGGTGTTGCGATCTCCATTACCAGATCTGGACGTGGAATATTGGCTTTCCGTCATATATAGTAACGATTTATTTTTGTCTAATAAGT